CAGAAGTGGTATTTGTGTCGATACAAGCTATGCGCCGGCGGTTTTTGCTCGTTTAAGACTATCAGGTCTCAACATATGGGCCGTCATATAAACTGTTCGCACTTCCGGAACCGCCAGTTCCCGTGCCGGTGGCCCGGGTGCACCAAAGTCTACCTGAGCCCAGCACCGCTCAGGCAGCATGAGCTCAACCACCAGTGCGGGTTTGGTATACTGAACGGCAAGGTTATGGAGGGAGTGTGTGGCAACAAAAGCATCTGTAAACATAGGGAACGGGTTATCATTGATGGTGTCAAGTGGTACCGGTGCTCGATATGCCGCCAACAGATTAAGAGTTGGTCGGCAACTAAACGACACATACACGACCAGCACCTGTGCCCAGTCCGGAATAAACTGATTCCGGTGGACAGTCAGGAGATACCTGCGCTCGATGCGGCTACAGGTGCTGAGACTGGAAGTGGCGATCAATCAGAGCCAGAGTTAGAGATAGTCGATGAAGTGGTGGGCCGACGAAGGGGCGCCTCTCAAGAGTTCCATGAGTTGATCAGTGAAAGAGGCGTTCAGTTGAGTTACTCTGAGCACCAGTTCCTTAAGTGTCGTAAAGAGTTGGAGAATTTGGTGCGAATTATGCCTGAGTTCGAGCGCCGGGTGGGTCACCCCAATGGCCGCCCCTACCTGTGCCGCCACTGCGGTTGGGAAGGCAAGACATTTGCGGCCATATCGTGTCACCTGAGGATGGGTCACTATATCCAGTGATATGTGTTTCCCATTAGCGCCGTTCGCTTGTCAATTGAGTCTCATTTTAAATACTCATTCATTCTCTCATTATTTTTTGAGATACCGTTCCCTTACATCGGAATTCCGGTCATAATTCGGCCAAAACTTTGTTTTTGTTTTCTGTTTAAAAATTTTAGTTTTGTTTTTAAAATGTTTATGTATTTTTTTATTTAATTGGTTAACAAATCTTAACGTAATCTCATTGGACTTAACGTACGAAACAATTGTATGAATTCTTAAATTGTTGTCTTTTTAATTGAAATCATTTCTGTGATTAATCTGACTATTAATTCCATTATCTTAACCATTGATTAATAACTCATTTAATTGTTTTATTATTTATAGAAATAATTGTATAATGAATTGTAAATTTCATAAGTATTTGTAATAACAGTACTATTTTTCAATTAAATTGTCATTTATTTGATTTATAAATTATAAACGGACGGACATTCAGTTTTTGGCTTTTAAAACAAAAATTAATTAATAATTTAAACCATGGATCTAATCCTAACATACTGTGTCAAAATACTGTACTTAATATGAGTATTATCTAGCTATTAAATAATTCTAAATTTTTATTAATTAGAGTTATGTTACACTTTATAATATAAAGTTTATACGGTATGTTCAATAGTTAATGATTACACGGAAAGTATTATGTAATCAAATAAACATTAAACACAAACTTTTTAGTGAACGATGGCTTAAAGGCATTCAAAAAACACTTGAAATCACAAACAAAACCACTTATGAGTTGAAGTTAATTCTTGGAAAATAATGAGAAGTTTTAGGCGTTTTTCACGGCTATGTTGACACAAAAAATCCCTAATTAAGCAAAAACATAGCCTTAACTATAAATTTGATTAATAAATATAAACAATGAAAGCGTTTTATTAAGTGTTTTATATCTTTAAGAAGTATTTTGATGAGACTAAAGTTCCAAAGTTACCTAAAAGTCACCTTTAGGCAGGGATTTCTCCTGTAGCTAATAATTGTATTTGATGATTTGTGAGCATTTATCATATTTTATATTAAAATAAAATTATATTTATGTGTAACGTATGCATTCAATGAATTTGTTGTGAAATTACATTTCCCTATAAAAGAGCTCTTAATGTGTTTATAAAGTGTATTCAAATTGAGTTCAAAAGACAAACACTAATTCCGGTCTCTATAGCTAATAGTAGTGAAACTTATGAATGAAAAGTGGAAATAATTTCAATTTATATACAAAACACAATTTAATTTAATTGACTCTAAAAACTTATACAAAATGTTTGCTAAACAATTAACTATTTTATCTATAATTGGGTTGATCTTGGTGACAAATATTTACGCACAAAGTGGTAAGTTTTTGTTGACTTAAAAAATTACTGTATTTTATTAAACTTAAAGCTTGAAGTGTCCAAATTATAACCAAGGTGATTATCAATTAATCCCAATTAGATGAACCAGCGAAGAGACAGCGAGGGGTTCGGGACTACGAGCTGGAGCTGCCGGCCTCGCGCTCGACCATCGATCGCAAACACGGCTCGTCTAATGAGTCGTCGGCGCCGGTCGTCCCCAACCCTAACCCCAACCCACAGCCCAAGTCTAAGTACGTACCGATTGAGGGTACCCCGGGTTGCCGGCGCTGCGTGAGTAACAACTATTTAACTCATTATTATGAGCGCAACTGTACGGCCAGGGATGTGGAGAATACCATTGAATCAATAGCTAGTATACGATATATGGGACGAGTATTGAGTGAATAATGCATTTCATTGATTAGTCTCTTATCTTAACGTTAAGTATAAATACTATAGAAATCTATGCGAGAAATACATGTTATGTGTGTTTAAACAGTCGCTCACATCAATACCTCTATATATAGTATTAGTTATATATTTATTTTGCTATTATAACTACTTAATTGTGTAAAGTATACACAAATTGTATACATAATTGTGTGTAATATACACTCATTTTGAGTCTAAATATCGTCCATAAAATTATTTACAAATAGTGTCCTATTTTTTACTATACATTTGTGTCGATAATAAGTGCCACCAATGGATGACATTTACACGCAAACCATTAGCGCTATTTGCGAGACCTGTAGCCAGGCCATCAAGGAGTCCAGTGTGCGGGAACAGTTTATTTTTAATTATTTGTTTTATTTGCCTATAATTTTAGCGTTAATTTTGTCAAAAACTCATTATTTTAACACTCAATGTATTGACTCGTTATTGTACCTCACATTCAATGCCCCCATAAATGTCACGACTATTTAAATACCCATTTTTATGACCTTTTAATAAGTCAGGGGGTGTTTAGCTATGTTTAGGGGTGTTTAGGGGGTAATAGTGAAGGGGGTGTTTAGCTATGATTTAGCCCTACTTTTAATAGCTGAGCTTTTAATTACTTTTAATAGGTTTGACTGTATTTTATTGAATAATTTCTATATCTATTGGAAAATGAGTTAAACTTTTGAATTGAAAACTAATTTGTATTTCATTTGGACAGCAATTCGAGGCACAGGAACAGGCGATCCAATCCCAGCCCATTGAGGGACAGCTCAGCAAATACACGAATGTCGTGAAGGGCTGGCAGTACCGGTGGTTTGTCCTCAACCCCAACAGAGGTACTCTCGAGTACCACATGGTATGCCTACACCCCCGACTCAACCCTCACTCAAACCCATTAATTAATACATACTTTCTTTCCCCTCCCTCTCCACACCACTGATGACTCCGTGTGGGACTACCCGTCCATTCCGTGTGGGCAACAGTTGGACGAGAAAAAGAAGTCACAGCCGAGAGGGTGTGTCTATTTGGCCGGTAGTGTCATCAGCCCGTCCGAGGAGGACTCGCAGACATTCGTCGTGTCGGCCGCCTGTGGGGAGGCCTACAAACTGAAGGCCGCGGACGCGAAGGAGCGCCAGTATTGGGTCAATAAGTTGAGACAAGTGGCGCTCAACCAGGAGAACCGGATCGCCGCACAGCACCCGCCCCTACACACGGCTACCACGACCGGCACGGGAACTATCGGTGCGGCGACGCCCGGCTCCCGACCCGCATCGCTCTCGCAGAGTAGTAACGCCTCCCTGGAGGCGGTGCGCGACCTACTCGTGCAAACCCAGCGTAATCAGAGAGCGCTAGTGATGGCCATCGAGTCGCTCACCTGTTCTGATGAGGAACTCCTACTCATGAAAGCGACGAGTCATTCGACGGTCATGTCGTTGGAACAGTGTTTCGCTATATTGCAGTCCATTCAGAGCTCGAAGATGGTGTGACCTCCCGTTCCTCATTAGTAGTGACCTAACATTGTGTATGTGTTTAGTGAGGAAATGGATGTTTTTCTAATGTATTAGCGATCTGTTCATCGATTTATTGGATTTCGTGTTTCAATTGATTTTGAAGTTTTTAAATGTATTATAATCTCGAGTACAGTATACACTTGATTACATGAACTTTAAAAATAGAGACATTGTGTGTACATAATAGCGATAACTACCGGTGCTCTCAATACTCGGTCCAAAGTTATCGACAAATGATTTGTAAAAAGGAAACGAAAATATTTTTTACTTAAATATTAATTTACATTAAATTTAGAGTCTATTTAAAACATTATTACATAATGGGAACGACACCTGTATTTTAGCCGCACTTACACTTCGGACACTCGCCCGGTGTGACTGCGAACAGTCGACACGAGCCCTGACACTTAAACACGGGGCACGGCTTTTGGCACCGGCAGGCCTGGCACCCATTGTCATCGATAATTGTCGTACAGTTAGTGCCGGCGCACTGTAGGCCTTCCGGTATGAATGGCGCGCATTTGTGAGCTACCGGTGCTTCGGTGGGAAAGTTGACGACACCGGCAGCTGCAGCGGCGGTTGAGGCGCCGGTAGTTGTCTCCACTTTAGGCGCACTGTCGACCCGTTTGTAGGTATGAACTCTGGACCGCTCGACACACGTGAACTCCGGGGGCACTAAACACGTGCACTCAGTCCGGTCATTGCGACCGATGTTCAGGTGCTCTCCTATCAGGTACTTACGGCCCCCGAACAGGCACTGGTGCTCATCGGACGGTGCTATAGAGGAAGGGAGGGGTAGAAAGCCATGAGACCTGAGTTTCAGGTAAAAGTGGTCACCACTTACGGCAATAGTAATCAATGGGACAACACGTGCGCTCGTGATATATGGGTAGACATCCCTCACGGAACTTGGGGTTCGAGTCCATGTGGCACCGGATCCTACGACAGGTGCCGGTGCTGTTCAACGGCTTATTTTCGTCCCAACCCTCGACGCACCGGCACTCCAGGCAGTGGTCCTCTTTGGGGTAAATAGTTTCGCCCAAATGGTAGCGCCGGCCGTCGTATAAACACCGGGACGCTGATGATTGGGTGTCAGGGGACGGGCATTGCAAACGCGGACAACACTTGTCCGGCTCATACACGTTGAAGCAGTTGGTCTGCGGCGCCCGGATGTGATTGAAACAGTCGACTTCGGCGCACCTTATTGTGGGCCGGGAGCCGGCGTTTTCATCGCAATAACAGCCCCTTTTGCACGGGTTGTCCACTGGAACCTCCGCCCCGAACCCATACACCTGTCCCTTGTATTCGCAGCCTATAATAGATAGCAATTTATGAGTAAAAACTTTTTTAGAGTGAAAACAAACCATTGGTTGGAGTTTTGGGTGATTTTTGTGGACAAACGAAATACTTGGGACACGACTGTGAGCCGCACCCGACCTCCACATCCCTGGCCGTACAGTTGCGCTCATAATAATGAGTTAAATAGTTGTTACTCACGCAGCGCCGGCAACCCGCGGTCCCCTCTATCGGTACGTACTTAGACTTGGGCTGTGGGTTGGGGTTAGGGTTGGGGACGTCCGGCGCCGACGTCTCGTTAGACGAGCCGTGTTTGCGGTCGATGGCCGAGCGCGAGGCCGGCAGCTCCAGCTCGTAGTCCCGAACCCCTCGCTGTCTTTTCATTGGTTCATCTAATTGGAATTCATTTATAATCACCTTGGTTATAATTTGGATACTTCAAGCTTTAAGTTTAATAAAATACAGTAATTATTTAAGTGAACAAAAACTTACCACTTTGTGCGTAAATATTTGTGACCAGGATCAACGCAATTATAGATAAAATAGTCAATTGTTTAGCAAACATTTTGTATAAGTTTTTAGAGTAAATTAAATTAAATTGTGTTTTGTATATCAAATGAAATTATTTCCACTTTTCATTCATAAGTTTCACTACTATTAGCAATAGAGACCGGAATTAGTGTCTGTCTTTTGAACTCAATTTGAATACACTTTATAAACACATTAAGAGCTCTTTTATAGGGAAATGTAATTTCACAACAAATTCATTGAATGCATACGAAATGTGTATTTATATTAAAATAAAATTATATTTTATACTATTTACGAGTGTTTAGTAGTTTATGTTAATAATCGATGTCCTCTTTAGGGACGGATTTCCACTGAAAATCCATTGAAACCTTGAAATC